CCAGGAAAGGCGCAAAGCTACACAGAGAAACCCTGTCTTGAAAAACCAAAAAAAAAAAAAAAAAAAGACTAAAAGACTATAACAAATAGTAAGTTCTAACATAGGACTAACAAGAAGCTACCCAAGGCATTGGTGTTCTTTCTTTTTTTATTATTTTTTTAGTTTTTATTGCAATAAAACAAGGGGAAACACAATGTATAAAGTACTGCATATGAAGAACATTTATACAAATGTACAAAACTTCAAAAACTCAACTCCAGTTTATTTCATACCTTAAAAACATGGAAAGCACATAAAAATACCCAGCGTCATGTTTATTCTTAGGAATGTAAACTCTAGGAATACAATGACAAATATATCTGCAAGAAAAGTTTAGCATTACCACATGATCAGAAGTAAAGGTCAGAGGCACACAGTCAGCTCCAACAAAAGTGGGGACAAGAAAAAAAAACTCACAATTGAGACCCATGTCCACTAGCACTCCACTGTACAACACAAAACCATCTTCAAATTGTTCACTCTTAGTCTTTTTGGAAATGGGCAAGTTATAGCGTACGGAAGCTCGCACACTGGCACGAGCACTCTGGTAAGCCTTCAACGGTGTCAACCACACATCTCAATTCCGCAATGTGTCAGCACTCAGCAGCAAACCTACATGTGTAAACTTGTGCTCACTAAAGGACTAGGGTTTTAGCCTTCCTTCAGGGACTGGGAAGACACCATTGTACATGAATTTCTAGCTACAATGCCCTGCCGCCCTTCCTTCTCCAGGAGCCTCAGGAGAGCAACTTGGGGTCACTGGGATGATGCCTGAACGGTCCATCTTTGTAGCATCAAGAGCAGGAATTCCCTAACAACTTGTTTGTTTTGAAAGGCAGTGTTTCATTACCCTTTCAATTGTAAAGCAATCACTCTGCAAATAAAACTCAGTTGTTAAAAGTTGAATTAAAGGAAAATACATCTTTAAATCAAAATAGGTGAAAAGGATCCCTGTTTAAAGGGATTCCTTCCTATTTTGGAAAATCACAATTAAAATATTGAACGGCAAATTATGGAGTAAAGTATTTACTCTGAAATATGATTGTAAGCAAAGAGTTGAAGTAAGGTAGCTTAATGTTTCGGTCTCCAGACACATTACACATCCATAAAGGAAAGCACAGTAAGGAAGCATATGTTAAGTATTGTAACAGAACAGTAGTTAGAAAGACATTACTGTTCTTTCATACATTAACACTGTGGGCTGCTGCTAACTAAGAGTATGATATATCTAGAGTCCAGATCTAGGATGAAAACAGAGAATGTTCTCTGAACCTCTTTAGCTTTCAAATTGTAAGAAATTAACAACAACCTTTTGGGATCCTTGGATTTTTGAGTCATATAACAACAAACATTGACTGAACCTCTGTGACTCAGATAAAAGGTAAACCATCCTGCCACTGAAAGCCAAGTGTGGGTCTGTGGTCTTATCGCAGCCAGGGTCTATGCTCATATCTGTGGCCTGTGCTACCACTAATGGCCATATGGATGTCTGTGGTCTGCGCTGCAGCCTGAAGCCATGTTGTTATCCTTGGGCCATTTGGCTGCTAGGGGCCATACTGAGTGGCCTGTGATGCCACCTGGGGCCATGCTGATGTTTGCACTTGTGCTGCCACCAAGGGCCATGTTGGGGCCTGTGGTCCTATGGCAGCTAGGATCTGTGTTGATGTCCATAGCCCATGTAGCTGGCCAAGGTCTGTGCTGGAGTCTGAAGCCATGTTGACGTCTGTGTTCCCTGCTGCCTCTGAAGGTCTTGTCTGGCTCTGTGACCCTACTGAAGTCATGGGTCCTGTTCTTGGCTTATGTTCTCATCAGAAACCATTTGGAAGCCAATGGTCCGGGTTGCTGCTGACTGTAAAGAACAAATAAGCTACCCTTAGAATGATACTGATGACGGTGGATGCACAATTGAGAAAGAGGGACATAGAAGACTTCTGTGACAACCCTTACTCCCACCCTCATCCCCCCACACTAAAAAAGGGTAGCAGCCTAAACAGGAAGCCATCAAAGAAAACTCTTAAAAACTGTGATAGGATACTGAAGAATCACTCCCAATAGATGGCTTCCAGCAGTGGTTCAAGAGGGGAAGGACTTAGTTCTATTTAAGGACAGGACACTGAGAGTTTGGCAATGCTCCAGTCAGTATATAAATAATACAAATTGGACTTATTTTTGTTTTAGTTTTTGTTTTTGTTGGGGGCAAGACCACAAGGGTAGGGAGTCAGATATAGAAGGGCAGGGAAGTGAATGTCATCTGGGTGTATGATGTGAAATCCCCAAAGAATCAATAAAAATATTACGTTGGAAAAAAGTAAATAAAATTTAAAGACACATCGTAGAAAAAAAAGAATGCTATCTAGCCTCCGTAAATTTCAGATGTTGTCTGTCAAATGAGGGACATAATGTCTGCTTACATTATCAGCTGAAAACTAACACACTACTTATAAAGAATAATGAATGACCCTATAAAATACCTTGTCAAGAATAACCCTGTGCACTTGAAACCCAGCACATCTGAAATGTGGATTTCTTTCCTATTCTCCATTCCTAATGCTCAAGCCAAAATCATAAAAATTATGGCCAAATCACCCTTCTTCCCTGCATTCATATATTTTTGGAATTGTAAATGTCATCAAAATGCTCTCCCTAATATTCTGCTATTTCTGAATTTTCCCATGATCAGAAAGGCCTAGTTACACCTTCCTGGAAGTTTTGTTGGCATGGTAGTGGTGTCAAATGGTGACACTTTTAAAGACAGAAACTAATGGAAAGTTATAGAGGTCTGGACCTATGAAGGCATTAAGTATTGGTCTTCCCAAGAGTCAGTACTCAAGAAATGAGACTGCTATGAAGCCAGGATGACCCATGTGCTCAACCCATTCTTCAGGCAGTTGTGTCACTTTGTTCTTACTATTTCTGCATAGCCAGGACTTTTCACTTCCAAAACTGTGAGCCAAATTAAAGTCTTCTTATAAATACCCACCATTGGACTAACACAGTTCGTCATCATTTCCTGAGGATAAGTAAGAATGGCTGACGACTCTTTCTACTTCCTGATTTTTTTTATCCCCTTCAAATCCATTGTCTTCATCACTAGTAGAATATTTGTTCTATTTTTCTTTCATTGCTATGACCAAATGCAACTTAGAGAGGAAAGGCCTTATTTCAGATTACACTTCTGGACTACAATCCAGGAACTCAAGGCAAGAACCTGGAGGCAGGAACTGAAGCAGAGACCATGGAGAAATGCTGCTTACTGCTTGTTTTCTGGGAGGGTCAATCTCTGGCTCATGCTAAGCTAGCCTTCTCATACAGCCCAGGCCCACCTATTTAGGGATGGTGTCTCCCACCATGGGCTAGGTGCTCTCGTGTCAATTATCAATCAAGGCAGCCTTTCACAGATGTGGACACAGGCCAATCTGATTGAGGCAATTTCTTCAGTTAATATTCCCTCTTCCTGGGTGATTCAAAGCTGTGTCGACTTGGTAATAAATACTATCCCAGGCAATTTCTAGGTTGAAAACGCTGATCTTGTTGCTCAGTCTCCAATGACCCTCTCCTGACTTGGGCTCCAATTCCAAGCTCCTCAAGCACAAAAACGTGCTTACTATGCTCTTTGCTCGTAAAAATTTTCACGTCATATGTTTGAAATGTGGTGATATTGTGTTCCCCAATCTAGTGCACCCTAATAAACTTGTCTGGAGGTCAGAGAACAGAACAGCCACAATATCAAACATAGAGGTTAGGCAATGGTAGCACACACACCTTTAATCCTACCATTCGGAAGGCAGAGATCCATCCGGATCTCTGTAAGTTCAAAGCCACACTGGAAACAGCCAGGCTTGGTGAGTCACACCTGTAATCCCAGGAAGTGATGGCAGAAAGCAAAAAGTATATAAGGCGTGAAAACCAGGAACTTTTGCTGGTTAAGCTTTTAGGCTTTTGAGCGGCAGTTCAGCTGAGATCCACTTGGATGAGGACTCAGAAGCTTCCACTTGAGGAAACAGAATCAGCTGAGGAATTGGAGAGGTGAGGAAGCTGTGGCTTGTTCTGCTTCTCTCATCTTCCAGCACTGACCCCAGTGCCTGGCTCCAGGTTTGTTTTTATTAATAAGACCTTCTAAGATCTGTGCTACATCGTCACACTCAACATACATATTAGCGATACTCCCACTCTAGAATGCCCCTATCTTGCTTTTATTTACCTAATTTAATGTTATTTTGTGTAGATTTAAAGCAGTCTGCTACAGTAGCTTATTAGAAATGTTATTTCACACACCATTTCCCACACACAAATCAGAATTTCAGGAGCCCAGGACCATGTCTTTAAAATGTTGCTAACTGATTCTGATACATGCTACAGTTTGGGAAACACTTACATAGATGATTCTTACTGATTATTTGAAATCAAGGTTCAGCCCTGTCTCCTACAGTGCTGAGGCCCACGGCACTTCACAAAATCCCATAGCATCCCATGCCTTATGCACTGCACACCAAACGCCACTGTGTGATCACTTATTTCCTTTCGTGAGTTGTTTCAGAGCAGAGGTTATCTCTGGGCTGCCTTTGATTCCCCCTTATACCGCAAATACTACAGACGGTCCATGCAGCATGCTCATTGTGTGTATCTTTTCAACTTAGTTCTTTACACGTGTGAGATCATTTAATCACCACAATAGCCCCCAGAAGATTTATACCGCTATTATACACTCCATTTTGCATTTGAAAGTGTAATAGATACTACATAAATGGTCCCAAATAATCCAGTCAATAAATGTTATAACTAGGATTCAAGGTTGGGCAGGGCCTGCAGCAGGGCCCTCTGTGCACGTCCTCAGCCAGTATAAAGCACTGCGTCTGCAGAACCACAAATGAATGAAGACTTGAATTGTCTGGCACATGAGTGCTCAGTAAATGGAGCAACCATTCTCATTATCATCACCGTCAGACTCCCACAAACCAAATTACTTGCCTAAATCTCTGCAATGATTCCTGCTCACATCCGCCTAGTCTTTGGCTCAGTCTCCTTTCAATTCTCATAGCAAAATGCGGCAGGATTTCATGATGCCTAAAGACACCTTCCCCACTCCCCCAGAAAACTGTTACGTCAACTTCGTTTCTTGTTCCCCCTCTCAGCATTTAGTGGATCAGGAACCTCACATGGCCTAGGACCTGCCACTTCTAGCCATCCCCTCTTGTAAAACTTCACCAGGGTATCTATTGCCTTTGCTGCAGCCTTCATGACTGCATAAGAAAGTGATGAACACTTCCAATCTCATTTAAACCACCCAAGACAATCATCTGTAGAGTATTGACAGCCTTCCCACTCCATCTGTAACATGCTGGGTAAGATAAATGAATATTTTCACATGCTTGACAATGTATTTTTTTTTTTACTTTGGTGATATTGTTGGATTTATTGAATTGTGTGTCTCTCCTGACAAAAAAAAACTATATGTTAAAGTAAAGTTCATAATTCTTTCAGAATGTCACCATTTTAGAGGAAATCGTGTTAAAAATTAGGTCGTTAAGTGAAAACTCATTTTGACCTACTTTTTATAACAAAAAGACAGTCGTGCGGACAGAGAAAACAATATAAAAAAAGTCATGTACAAGAACTTGCTGGTGGCTTAAAACAAAAAGTCTCCCCCATCACCCTCAGAAGTAACCAACCCTATCAACACTTGAACCTCAGATTTCCAAAAGCTAGGACTGTGAGACAAGTTTCTGTTATTCAAGCTACTCAGTCTACAAGTACAGAAGTTATCCTTTATTTGCAGTTTCTCTTTCTGCGGTCTCCATTGCTAGCATCAACCATGAACACAAACTGTTAAATGGAAATTTTCAGAAATAAAAAACTTATAAGTTTTATATTGCAGGCTGTTTTGAGCAGTGTGGTAGAGTCTGGCACATTCCACTTCATTCCACCAAGAACATGGCTCATCCCTTTGCCCAGTGTATCTATACTTTATATACTACCCACCCATTTGAAAAGTGTTGTGCTCACTTTGTTAACCCTTATTTTACTTAATGATCATTTCCAAAGCATATGGGTAGTCATGCAAAAGAGGCACCAGGAAATGAAGCTTGAAAAGACGGAGTGACTCTGTTCCTATGTGGCAATGATTCAGGATATATAGAAAGAAAGAAAAAACCTTAGGGCATGCAGAGTTTAGAATTGCCTGCAGTCCTGGAACATATCACTAGTTTACCACTGAATGTTGTAGTAGAAGCATAAGTAAACTAATACAATTGTAACAGATGGTGGGGGTCAAGGCCAGGTGCTTTCAGGTTCTTGACCTCTTATTCAAGAATGAAATAAAAGTCCACAAAGATGGTAAAGTAGCAAGAAAGCCATATCTAAAGCAAAGCAATAAAACAGATCAGCTTGCATTTCAAGAGCACAGTGAGTCACAGAAGCGAAGACACACAGGTGCCTTGATTATTTGGGGCTTTCTTTTATAGGGTTCAAGAAAAAGAGTTTGGTTTCTGGTTGACATAGCATGAATGGCTCTCTAGTTTAATTAATAGATGTGGATTATGTAAGCTTTTACTAATTGCAAACATCTCTCCCCATAACACATCTAATTTTAATTATAAGCATACTCAATTATTTATAAGACAGTAACTAGGGATACCTAAAAGTTTATATGGGGACAGAGTTTTACCTAGTTGTGCTTGTACCCAAAACTCATTCAGAGAAGATTGCCCCCTTCCCCAACCCCAAAGCCAGATCTAACTGGAGTATAGTTGAGTAGGGTCTGTCTAAGTTTGATGGTTGTTAAGGGAGAAAGAGGCTCCTTCCACTGAGTGGGGTGTGCATGTAGTCTGTCTTAGTTAAGGTTTCTATTGC